GAAGGCGAGGGTTTCTCAATCTGCGGGTACCTGGCGTGTGCGTATTTTAATATCGAGCTCTCTTGTGACTTAAATGTCTGGCTAGCATGGAAACTTTCGGAATAGATTCAATTATTTCTTAGATTTCTATCATGTCTTCTAGGAAAAACGTAATTATTTCGACCGGAGTATCCATTCCGAACACTTTCCACGATGCTAGGACTTGGACCGAGTTCTAGCATCGTGGACACAGGCCTTAAAGGCTCGTATCCACGATTCGAGAACTTTATCCAAGTTCTAGTTCCGAGAAATGTGTAGTCAGTCAACTTGCAGCTTTTCCGTAAAAGATGCAAGTTGGTTGGCTACCCATTTCTCGAAACCGGAACTTGGACACAGTTCTTGGATCGTGGACACAGAACTTAAGAAATTAACTAATCACAATCGAGTATTCTCCTCATACTTGACTGTGATTGGCCAATTTCTTAAAGGAAAAGAAAAGAAAATTCTCAGGTCTTAAATCACCAATTGTAGACCGTGACTGATAGGTGTCCTGGTCACACCTGTTAAAAAAAAATCTACAGTTATGTACACTACAATTTTTGAGAGACTCCAATTTCAAGATCTATGTCTCCACAAGGATCGTCCACAAATGCGTTATAAGAAACCAAAATTACGACTTTTACGTCGGAATTAAGCGTTGTTACATGCTATGGTAGTTTCGTATGCACTTACATACAAGTCGCGATGTAGCTTTTCTTAAGTGTAGTTCACACGACGCTTCTTTTGACGCCTGGTATACTAGCAGTATATCAGTAAAAATGCATGGTGCACTTCAGAATTATGTTGCTAAGCTAGTTTGCAGTCGCTGTCTCTCGTCGCCAGCTAAGCACGCCAGTCGAGTTAAAATATTCAAAGTTTATTAGCTGCTAGTACTGTGTCTCGTGTGTCTGCTAATCCTCGCGTAAAAAGTGGCGTATTAGAGCAGATATTTTCAGTGACCAGTAGACGGGATAAATTCGAAAATTCATGGTGAGTCGCACGAATAAACTCGTAAATAGCAACTCGGACAATACATTTCCCTGAAAAATACACAAAGGTACGTCAGATGTACGTTACAGATTATTAATATTATTTCAAGGAATATTCGCTCCAATGGCTGTAATAATTTTGTCGACCAGCCGAATCGCGACGTAGCAAAAATACGAACGCCTTATAAACGTGCGATGTTGGCGCTGGTACATGCGCTCCGTTCTAAAATATTTTTATATTAGCAGTGTATACAGAGTGTCCCACTTCTCGCGCGTTATTCTTTTAACGACAGATTCCTCGGAGGGAATCGACTTTGCCCCGCGAAAACTGTCGAAGCACCGAAAACAAGAGATTTCTTTTTCATCGGTTAACTTTACATAAGATTGATTTTAATAAAAGTCAGATTTTTTTCAAGCTTTATTGTCAGCCGGAGAAGATATAGGACTCCAAAAATTGAAATCTCCCTCGCCGAGACGAGGTCGACCTGAAAACTGATCGACGACCACTACATCGGTAACAAACAAATGCGTGAGAAATGAGACGTCGCGTATAGATAGATAATAATTTATTCGCTTCAACTTACAGTCAAGAAGTGGGACTTAATACACACCCTTCCATTCCTCTTTCGTATATTCCTACATAAACCTACTTCTAAAATCCTATACAATTCCCCTTTTATACTCGATACATAACATCTGCTTAACTTGATTGCCTTACTTCGCACTATTTTGTCTTATCTTATATTACTTTACATTGTCTTGTATCGTCTTGCTTTAATCATATTACATTTATTTTGATAGCGTTGTCTCCATCCTTTCTCTCTCTCTCTCTCTAATTTCATTTGTATTGGCCTTAACTTTGTATTACGTTTACTTTGGTATTTTATATACTTTATAATGTTTACTGTATTATGCATCTTTATTACTACTTTTGCTTTGAATTTTGAATATTTTTTCATGACATTGTGAAATGTAATATACATTCTGTAACGTATACTTCATCTCTCTCTCAATACTATCTATAATATTCTTCTCTCTACGGTCTTAGTATGCTTTTTCAATCAATGTGTTTTACTTGATGTAACTTTGTCTTAACGCTTTAGGGAACGTGTCCCAGAGCGTTTAACAAATAACGATCTGATCTCTCTTTTTTCCATCCACAAGTTCCTTAGAATTTCTCTCCTCCTCTTTATCAAGTTCATCGCTCCGAACTCGGTGTAATATTTCCTCTTTATTTTCTCCTGAACGGGACGTCCTGTATACAAAATAGCTTTCTTTCACGCGCCTCCAACAATAAAAAACAAAATGCGTCGTGTAAAACCACGCTTTGCGCGTGGACGCGTGCGTGGCGCGCGTTCGTGCCGCGTCGATTATTACGCCCGCGCGTTTCATGCGGTGTTTCAGAAGCCCGCACGCGGGATCTGGGAAGTGCTGCACGGGAAATGAGATTCTTGCGTGAACAATACTCGAGCCGCGCGCACGGCGCCATTGCGCGTGCACGCGTGTGTACGTGTATACATTTTATATCACGAAGGGGGCACACGAATTGCCGTTCGGCGATTCGCGGAATCCGGCTGTCGCGTAGCGCGTCGCGCGCGGCGATTCCACGGCGCGCCACTTCTCGCTCTCGCGATTTTCGATCTCTCGAACGACCTCGGCGGCGCGTTACGTTCGCGACCTTACCGTCGACCTCGCGAATTATACCGGGGCGAAGGAAAATAAGATAAAAATATATTGCTCCTTCCGTCGCCTGCTAATCCCATTCCGATAAGTAGAATCAATATTTTCTCTACGAGGGGAAGGCAAATAATCTGCACGAAATCGCCGCGCGAGCCCTGCCTCCCCCTTTGATTTCTCTCGAATCTGATGAATTGGGCGAACGAGCGGAAATAATTCGACGTGCTCGCGTTTCGCGATTAAAATTACTGGGGGCACGATAGTAAATCAATTAAGCAGCCCGTGGCCCTCGGTTAGATCGCTGACAGATTAATAGTCGTTCGCCCGATCAGGTCGAACGAATCGGATATCGGACGCGGTACTTTCA